GCCCAACACGATCCCAATCAAAGACAAACTGTCCAAATACTCACAGGGCTTTGCTTGCTCTCCCCATCAGCCAGGCTGGGAATTCAGGGGTACCGCTGCCTGGAGAGCACTCTGGCACAGATCCTCCTCTGATCCCTCCCTCTCCCTAGCGCTGGCTCCATCCTGCTGCTCCCCACGTCAGGGTGATGTTACAGGTGACACCTCCCGCTGCTGATGTCAAGCTCCGTTCCCAAAATCACAAGCACCGTCTCCCTGCGGCGCTCGCTGCTCCTACAAGCATCACCTGCACATCCTCTGGGTGCCAGGAAGCGAGCTCCAGCAGGATTCCAGAGAAGCTTACGGACACACAGCCTTCCCTCTTCTTCGTCAAGTCTCCCAGCGCTATGGAGCTGCTTTAATTCCTACCAGAACGCTGCAGCAAATGTAGCCTCAACGCCTCCCCCGGGGGGAAAAGGAAGGATTTTTACAGTTTCTTTCTGTGGTGCAGCTTAATTTGCCCTCTTCCTAGAGCAAACTGCTGAAAGAACAGGGAAATAAGGGATCAGGAGAGCAGAGTGACTGACTCATGGATGCTCTCCCGAACATTTTGGAGTAAGCCGAGGGGCTGGTGATGCAGCCCAGGACCAGAGCTGATGAATGGCGCAGTGCTGCTGTTGTCATGGCAACTAAGAGGAAAAGGAAAAAAAGGCAGCACCAAATAAGGAGTTGTGACATGGATTCTGGGAACAATTTATACTAAAAGGCTCTAAGCCCTAGGATACTTTAAAGCTGCAGCACCGCCTTGGTTGGGGACAGGTTTCATTGTTCACAAATTTCTGACAGGAACACATCCAGACCAGACACATTTGTATCAGGAGGGTTGCACCAAAATAACACAATTCTGCATTGAAATAACTGGAACTGGAATAACTGAAATTATGAAATGGCTGGACACTAATAGGGACCCAAACTAACATCTGTGAAAACACAGTAGCCACAGGTAGGCACAGCCCCACACAGGTGAGGAGCTCTGTCCTTACGGAGCGAGGCTGAGATGAGCCAAACTGCAGCACCATCAGGTGGCTGAGTGCCTTAGCAGCACTGACACCAACACAGATCCTGCCAGGCCTCCCAGACACAGGAGAACAGTCCCAAATTAACCCATAACCCAGGCACTGGGGGGCAGGGGAGGCTGGCAGAGCCCCAAAGCATCTTCAGGTATGGCAGAGCAGGGAAAGCCAGCTCACACACACCTGCCATCACAAGCTGTGAGCAAGGCCAAGGTTTGTATTCCACGTGCAACACTGGGGAAAAACACATTATTTACCAGAACCATCTTCAGCTGCTTTCCACTTAATGCAAGTGCTCAAACAAACAACACACAGTGAGGGAAAGAATGGCCACTGTCCACCCAGCACAACCACAACATGCAGGGCTGGAGCCTGGGCTCAGCAACTGAAACTTTGTCAGAAATCCTTTCCATTGATGATTTTATTTTTAAAGACAGAATCCCAGAATGGCCTGAGTTGGAAGGGACATTAAAGATCACCCAGTTGCTACTGCTGTGCCCATGGGCAGGGACACCTTCCACTGTCCCAGGCTGCTCCAAGCCTGGTCCAGCCTGGCCTTGGACACTGCCAGGGATCCAGGGGCAGCCATGGCTTCTCTGGGAATCTCTGCAAGGACCTCACCACACTCACATCACAGAATCATTGTAATGGATGGAAAAGACCTTGAAGATGATCAAATCCAACCATCAACCTTGCAACACCACCACATTCCACACTAAACCATGTAATCAAGTGCCAGAGCCACACATTTTTTGAGCACTTCCAGGAGTAGTGACTTCACCACTTCCCACATGTGCCAGCACTGACAGCTTCCCCCCAGCACTCCCACCCCTGAAGCTGTGCCTCATCATCTCTCATGCTCCCACCCAGCTGAGCTGGTACAACAAATTTGGAGAGAACATGTGGTCTTGGGGGCTGCAATCATTTATCTGGGTTTATCACCACTAAACAAGAAGCAATAAAGTTTTCAAGTAGAGAGATTTGAGCTTTTTAGTCCCACAATTACAAAGAATATTGAACCATTTGCTGAAGGTATGGAGAAGGGAGATGTGACACTCCTCATGGCTACCCCCAAGAGATGCAAGGGTATCCCAAGAAGAACGGGGAGAAGACAAGACCCCAGCCCTACCAATGACATGTGTGATGGTGGCACAGAAAATGTTGTGTGTTGAGGTCCCCAGCCCAGATGGACCTGGAGGGTGTTGAGAACCACAGCAGTGGGTCCTTACTGGCATCACTGGGAAGAGCAAGTCTCCATCCTGCTCAGCCCTGCTCTCACGATCTGTGAAGGATCTAGTGAAAAAATACACATCTTCTTTAGGAAAGAAGCTGCTATTAACTGCCTGAACCCACTGATTTGTAGGAATATTCCTACTAATTTATATGAATTTTATTCTTAGGGAAGTTCCCACATTCCCCAAACACAAGGGAGAAATGCTCTCAAAGAGAGGATCTGCAATGAAACCAGTTCCCCAGGCCCCTGTCTTTGAAGACACTGAAGCAGCTCATTCACACTGGATACAGCAGGATCAGGCCTCTGAGAATCCAAACCGAAACATCCAGGCCAGGTTTTTGTTAGAAAAACACGATTTCTTTCCTAAATTTCTTGCTAATATTCTCCCCTCCTCACTCTCTGCACAGGCACTCACACACATGCTTTTTCTAAGAGAATCCCAATGCTTGCAATCTGTCATTCAATAGAAAAAATAGCAATAGCCAAGCACAGTGATGAATAAAATTATCCCTGCGCATATAAATGTACAATATGCAAATGAACACTCCTTCCTGAGGAGGAGGAGGAGGAGTGGGATGCAGCACAGGGCTTTGTGCAAACCCTCTGCACATGGTGGGTTCCATGGGAGTGGAATAAAACATCATGAGCTGAGTCTTTCAGCCCAGTATCTCCTTTATTAACCTAATGCATGTATTTTTGGCACTGATTCCCAAAAGCACTTCCATACATTCATCCCTCCTGGAAAGCACTGCTGTCCTCAAGGCAGGTATACAGAGCACCTGCATTATTTTCATCACAGTTATGGCTTTGAGTCAGCAATAACACACCCTTGATGTATAGCAGATTTTTTAAGCCCATTGTTTCAACAGCAGTTCTCTTTGTGCAGCAAGCATGGTAACTTTTTAAGTGCTAATTCTACTGCAGACACAAACCAAAATGGTGTCTTCCATTACTTAAGCTGGGCTGGGAGGGTGGGGAGTTTTCTTTCCCTTTATTCCATATTTTTCACATTATTTTTTGTTAATAAAGCCACTATTACCAAACAAAAAAAAAATTAAATAACACAAACTGAGATTGAATGAGCTGATTTAAGTATGTTTGCAGCCAGGGCTAAACAAGAGGTGGCACCAGGCAGGAGGGGAGAACTGATTACTTATGCTGACTATTACTTCGCCCCTTAGAGTGACAATGAACCTTAGTTTTTCCTAATCACCAGACTATTCAGCAGAGTGGAAATTGCACCCATGTGGAATATTTATCACCCTCTGAACCCAGGCAAGTCTTCATACCCAGCAAACACAGATACCAAGATGTGAGTGAGTGACCTTAGCTCCACTGGGTAGAAAACTCTCACTCTGTGGAATCTGTTCCCGAGGCTTTTTACCAAAAATGGACATCTTAACTTTTCTGTGGATGAAAAGCTGCCTTGGTTAAAATCAGACAGATTAAGAACTTTAAAAGATTATATTATCATAGAATGATGGAATGGTTTGTGTTGGAAAGGACATTGAAGTCCACCCCCTGCCATGGGCCAGGGACATCTTCCACTGGCCCAGGTTGCTCCAAGTCCTGTTCAGCCTGGCCTTGGACACTTCCAGGGATCCAGGGGCAGCCAGCAACCTGTGCCAAGGCCTTACCATCCCCACAGCCAGGAATTTCTTCCACATATCCAATCTAAACCTCCTCTCTTGCAGTCTGAACCCAATTTCCCCTTGTTTTTCTCTCCAACAGAAAAATCCCTCTTTGGCTGTAGGCTCCTTCAGATACTGGAAGACTGCTCTGAGTATCTGAGTAAATGGTCCTAGGACATAAATTTTTATTTAAAAAAATAAAATTTAAAATATGAAGATTTTTATGTACCATAAGGGTGAGGGTCCCACGCTCTCACCAACCACTCTGCAGACATGGAATTATGACAGGAACAGAATCTCTCTCCCCTATCTTTTCCAAGCTCTCCTTTCACCAGAGGGCAGAGGAAACGAAAGGCCCCAAGTGCGTCAAAGCTCCCTTTTGTACACATAGATCAGATTATATTCCATAAAAACTCTTTTTGGACATTTCCCTCAGCACAAGCACAGGACCCTGGCTGACCATAAAGCTGGGCACAGAGGGGGTCAGACTTTAGCAAAAAGCAAGTTTCTCAAGAACTGTTACCAGGAGAAATACTCTTTTTCAGGTTTTTATATAGATGTTAGACTCCAAGTGCTTTTGAAAATCACACTACTGCATCATCTCTAGGTACTCATACCACAGTCCTGACAGGTTAGATAAACAAAGCAGTATCTAAAAATATGCATGAACCAAAAAAAAAAAATCTGTCATTCAGATTTTTTTTTAGTGAAGCATAACTTTGCTATAGAAGTTCATAATTTCTCTGATGTTCTATCAACATCCACAATTTAAGCATCAACTTCTTTAAAATCACTGTAATACTTCCACTGTGCATAACAGCAACACAAAGTGGAACTGAAACACACTCTGACAGAAATTTCTCAAAAATGAGAGATTATTTGTAAACCAGAGAGACCTTTTTCAGCAAATAAAGATTTCTCTGTCAACACAAAAATCCAATCCATCCCCAGGTTTGACTGAAGCAGATGCTGTAATAAACAAGGGAACGACTTCCATACAGAAACCATTCCAAAGCTTTTTTTCTTACAGATTTTTTTGCACCAACGGACCTTAAAAGCCCCAGTGAACTTTATTTAAGTCCTTACCAGTTAACTTCTTCACAGGTTGGAGCCGAACACTGATAGACTGATGTGTGAGTAAGGGGGAGGATGGAAGGGAGCGGGACATGCCCTCCATTATCCGAATGTGCTGCATACCTTCGGTCACTGGGAGTGGCGGAATTGCGTAGTCAGGTTCAAAAGCACAGTCGTTCTCTGTGGAGGTGCCTAATGGGGAGAGGAAAAGGAAAATCACTTGGTTGGAATGCAAGGGGAAGAATCCTGCTTCCATCATTCCAAAAGGGCTGGCTGGAGGGAGCCCAGTGCAGAGGTGACTTGCCAACTGCTCGTTCCCTTTGCACACTCGTGACACATCCCTTGAAGAAATTTTAAAGAGCATCTCAGTACCCCTCTCTATATGGTGAACAGCAGAACCATGAAGAATTTCTTTCAATGCTCTTAATTTGTCTTTCAGAGTCTCAGAGTCACCAGTTTTCAATATAATGACCGTAGTTTTTAGATTGTTGGTTTCTAACAAAAAACGTCCCAGCTACATTAGATTTCAATAGGAGGACCTTTAGCCTAAAAAAAACCCCACAAACCCCACATAAAATGAAGAACAAACGCCTCCAAAAACAGCCACCAGCTCCAACTCTCCCAAGAGAGATGCAAAGCCCATGTGGGGGTCACATCACTGCACATCCACCACGCAACACATGGAATACCACGGGAACAAGTGAAGATAGAACAATAAAAGGACTCGACCCTAATTGTAATTAATATTCATTAACAGTGAGGGGAAGGTGCTCCAGATCAGGAAGAGTCAGGAGCCATAAGGTTCCTCCTATTAGCAGCAGATACGGAAACCTTGGGGTCAAGGACATCTGGATCTCCACTCTTATCAGTAAGATGAACAACCTAACCCAGACTAATAATTCATAAGCAAAACCAACCTAAACCGTTATCATTAATATGTCACTAATTTTTCAATAATGTGAGAAGGCCAGACTTGTGTCACTCTGTTACAAGATAGATTTTAGCTCCTATTGTGTGCTGATGTTTTCCCTCCATAAAGACATTCCTCACTGGATTTCCACTGGATAGCTGTGCTGTTCTCAGTGGCTTGTGAAAGTAATTATAGGTTGGCAAAGTTTTCCCTCTTAAAATTCAAAGGCTTTACAACAAAACAGTGAACTCACAAAACATCCACAAGGTACTACCTTCATTTTACACATACCGAAATTTCTTTCTCCTCCTTGGCAGAGTAAATAAACACACAAACAAAAGCCCTGAAACAGTCTGAAATTTGTTTTGGTCAGAAAGAATATATGGCTTATCAAACCCTGGAATGAGGGCTCATTGATGGCTGAACTGGAACTTTAACAGTTTGCTTATACAATATATTTAAATAAAATGTTACTGCAAAGTGCATATTTGAACTAATAGACTATTTCTTGGAGTTTTACAAGATTACCACAGAATCATTCAGGTTGGACTTTTAAGATCATCAAGTCCAACCATCAACCCAGCATCACCACTATGCTCACCACTAAACCATGGCCCTAAGTGTCACATTCACACCTTTTTGGAACACTTCCAGGAATGGTGACTCTACCACTGCCCTGGCCAGTCTGTTCCAGGGCTTCACAATTCTTCCCATGAAAAGTATTTTCCTAAACCAACCTAACCAAAACCTCCAACCTAAACCTCCCCTGGCACAACTTGAGGCTGTTTCCTCTTGTCCTGCCAATGAAGCTTTGAAGACACCTGGGCATCACACATGGTAGCATGGAAGGTCAGACAGCAGGAAGACAACTGCTCCATTTCAGCTGGATGCTTTACCCAAGGATAATAAACTTCCTCAACCCACCATCATGAAGAATGCCCATTAGCACGTGCAGACAGATTTCAAGTGATGGACACAGAACAGGGAAAAGTAAAGAAAATGCTTCTATAGAGCAGAGACTTCTTCCACACTGCAGAAAGCCTGCCTCTACAATTGCATCCACTGATCCAAATGGAAAGATTTAGCTCAGAAGCTTGTTGCTCCAAGAACTTGGAAGCTTTTTAACCTTTTCCCTTTCTATTCCCTTTCATGCTGAAACTTCTTGCTGGTTACTGCAGTTCCTTCAGTCAGTCACCAAAGAGGTACAGATCAGTGATTCTTGAGAAAGGATTTGCAAAAAAAAGATCCCCTCTCACTCTGCCAAAACTCATGCCTTTCCCACAGCAGCAGAGATCCAGAATAGATGGGTTGAAAGGGAACTTGAGAGAACAGAATGTGTTCAGATAGCTCCCAGCAGAAGCTGCATCTGAGCTGCTCTGCCCCATAGCAAGAAACCACTGGACAGAAGCCAAACACAGAGGACATGCCAGGGACCCATGGCAGAGCCTCTAGCACGCAGTTACACAGCAACAGCTTCATCTGAGCTCAGAGTGGGAAAGAACAGCCACTCTCTCTGAATGTCAAAGCACTCTTCCTTCCATGCAAGCTGCCATGGGATATGTACAGCTATAAGTTTCCTGGTTCCTTCTTAATTTTATTTTAATGCTACCTTAAAACAATAAAATAAAAAATAATAAATTTAAATGCAGTAATTGAAAGATCCTATGTGAAAAGAGCAGTTGACACTTCTGAGCTTCAGGGTTTTAACTACCAATTCCGATCCCCTAATTCTGATCACAGCTTCAATGACTGAAAATCATCTCACCCAGGCAACACTGGAATACTGCCAAAAAAGGACAATTCTCTGGAGAAAATGTCCCCATAATAAGTCATTAGGACACCATGACAACAACAGGCTTGAGCCTAAACGAAAGAAAAATTATTGCTGCAATCCCAAAGACAGAGTAAGTCAATGCACATAGAACCTACCAGAGGCCTTACTTCCAAAAAACACTGCTCAGTCTCAAAGCTGTCTGAGAATACATTTTCACAACCCTCACAAATGAGAAAATGCTTAAAACTTAGTAAAGCTGCTTCAAAGGACACGTAACCCAGCACAGATCTAAGACAGGCTGCTGCCAGGGACAGAAATCCCCATTACAGGACTCTGTGTAGTGTTAACCAACCACCAAACCTACTCTGAGTGACGGATACTCAACAAAAGAGTCTGCTGGATTGTTATCTAAAGAATATAAACCCTCTTTTTAGTATTTCCTTCCTTGGACCTTTTGTCCTCTTCCTGTGGGATGAAACAAACCAAAGCAAAAGATGTAAGGTGGGGCTGCTCAGCCCCCAGACAGGTACACAGAGGTCCTTCTCCATTGCATCCCAGGGCTTGGGGAAGGGTAACCTGGTTGTGGTGAACCTGCCAGGCTCCCCCCTTCGTATCAGGGGGGAACAAGTAGACAAGTAGAAACTTGGAAACCAAATGCTGCTTTGGGCTGGTATGTGCTGAAGAATTCCAGCACCACCAGCTCCAACAGCAGAGAAGACTCTGCCCCTGTGGCTGCAGTATGGAGACACCACGCTCTGCAGGTCCACCTGTGCTGCACCAGGAGTCAGGTTAAACTCCTTCAGCCACTCACAGACTGTCTGCTTTGTGAATCTCAGTACGTTGGTAGCTGTGTGGACAATAACCACGGGTGCTAAGCCTGTTTGTCCTCTTCCTGTGGGATGAAACAAACCAAAGCAAAAGATGTAAGGTGGGGCTGCTCAGCCCCCAGACAGGTACACAGAGGTCCTTCTCCATTGCATCCCAGGGCTTGGGGAAGGATAACCTGGTTGTGGTGAACCTGCCAGGTTCCCCCCTTCGTATCAGGGGGAAGACAAGTAGAAACTTGGAAACCAAATGCTGCTTTGGGCTGGTATGTGCTGAAGAATTCCAGCACCACCAGCTCCAACAGCAGAGAAGACTCTGCCCCTGTGGCTGCAGTATGGAGACACCACGCTCTGCAGGTCCACCTGTGCTGCACCAGGAGTCAGGTTAAACTCCTTCAGCCACTCACAGACTGTCTGCTTTGTGAATCTCAGTACGTTGGTAGCTGTGTGGACAATAACCACGGGTGCTAAGCCTGTCAGGTCACGCAGTTTGACGGGAAACACAACACGTGGGAAATAGCAAAGGTGAACAAATGAGACGAGTCCCCGAGGCAGAACAACACTCAGGTTTTACCTTGCCCAGCTCGGCTCTGACGGGAGTCTACACTTGCCTGTCTTCGGTCTGGTGGCTCCTCGTTCCCTCCATCTGCACGAGAACCAAAACAGCACAAGTAGAACATCATAGTGGACAGGTCAGGCAGATGCAACTTTTCCTAGACTCTGCCCTGTGGCTGAAGTATGGAGACACCACGCTCTGCAGGTCCACCTGTGCTGCACCAGGAGTCAGGTTAAACTCCTTCAGCCACTCACAGACTGTCTGCTTTGTGAATCTCAGTACGTTGGTAGCTGTGTGGACAATAACCACGGGTGCTAAGCCTGTCAGGTCACGCAGTTTGACGGGAAACACAACACGTGGGAAATAGCAAAGGTGAACAAATGAGACGAGTCCCCGAGGCAGAACAACACTCAGGTTTTACCTTGCCCAGCTCGGCTCTGACGGGAGTCTACACTTGCCTGTCTTCGGTCTGGTGGCTCCTCGTTCCCTCCATCTGCACGAGAACCAAAACAGCACAAGTAGAACATCATAGTGGACAGGTCAGGCAGATGCAACTTTTCCTTGAGTCCCATCACCTATCTCAGAGGAACAGCAGGGCAAAAGGTCCCTCTGGCAGAATGAAACTAGGGAAACTGCTGCTTGACTCTGCTGCTCCTTCCACCTTTGCCCCAGCTCACTGCAATGAAATCCATGAGGTCCTCGGGGACAGAAGGAAGGTTTACTTGCTCCTACTGATCCCACAGACATCTCAATGAGATAAAAACCAAACTGTGCATCTTCAAAGAATTCCTTCACTTTGGGCTGTTATATCAAAACATAAAAATATTAAGCGTTGGAATAAAGAGATCCAGAAAAAAAAAATTGAAATATGAAATCTGAAACTGTCCCTTTAAAATTATTTGTTCGCTAAAAACCCGGAAGGCTGGGAAGAATAAAACCTCTTATTACATCCTCTTGAAACTGTTTAGAAAAGCAGCTACAGTTAACAAATCCCAAATCCATCTGTGTAAATTCAGAGTGGGACATTGTGTACAATATTATACAATTAATTACAGGCTGCTCTTCATTGATCAACTGACCAGATTAGAAACAATAGATACACCCATCAATACAGATGCTTGAGTACATGGAGTCTCTGGCAGCTGATAGCAAAAAGAAGCCCAACTCCATAGACTGGGAAAAAGCCAGGGATTTCAAATTCAGGCTGTATTTCAGCAGCTCTTTCATCATGGCAGGGGAAGGGGAAGCTTTTAAAATCTTTAAAAATAGTTTTGAAATAACTGAATTCTTAAATAGCTGTTTAAAAAACTCAATAGCTGGTTTAGCATTGATGTGTTCTGATGATACTAAAAGCAACTGCATTTTGATATATTTGTATCTCTGCATAGCTCTGTAGAAGTTATTTGGTGGAGCGGCCTTTTGTGCCATAATTTAACTTTATCCACTCCTGCTACATTTGAGCTACATGTGGCTTGATGGGAAGTTTTGAATTGTAGCACAAGAGCAGAACTAAACGGGGACTAAAACTTTTAGTGTACCCCCACCTCCAAAAAGAGAGGAACCACACCCCAGGCCAGGAGAGGTTTTCTGCTCCCTCTTCCCTTGCTGAAATGCTCCCAGCCCTCAGTTTTCCTGAAGCAATGCTCAGGCACCTTGAACAGATGCCAGCCAGGCCATTTCTGTCACCTTTGCATCTTTCCCTGCTGACACAGCAGCTGCATGTGAAGGTCGTCTGGCTACAGCAGAATCCTGATTTTAAATGAGCTGCACCCACCCCAACAATCCAACAGCTGCCAGGGGCAAGGGAGGGCACAGACCATGACCCTTGCCCAGCTCCCTTTTGCACTCTGGCTGCCAGGAGGATGTCACACTGCAAACACAACTGCAACTGCAATATCATTATCATCATCATCCCTAATGGCCTCTGGCTATGAGCCCCCACAGACAACCTCTAAGTCATGGAGGAAACAAAAAACCCCTTTGAGCTGTGAACACGAATCCAAACGCAAAATAATTGGAAGGACTAAACATTTCAAACGACAAGAAAGTCCCAGTATTAAAATCAGGAGTAAACCCCTGTATTTATCCAAAGACACACGATCACCAGCAAAAGACAAACCCTGAAAGTTCCATCATCCTTCCAAGTGCTCAACACCAAGGAGCTTGGTGGGTGGAACTGGAGGAGTTTTAAGGTCCTTTCCAACCCAACCCTGAGATCTCTGATGATTCTATGAATCCATCTCATTGATCACCTGGAAAGACAACTCCTGTGCTGTACAGTTACCTAGGAGCATCAAACGTGCCTTGAGAGCAAGCCACGGCCAAGGGAGGGGCTGGGGCAGCAGATCTGGGGTCCTGCTCCCCAAAATGCTCCAACACTCAAGGGTGGGACACAAAATGGTGACAACAGGCTGCCAAAGCCATTGGGTTGGAGAAGAGGAACAGGGATCAAAACTCTGGGATGGCTCTCCCCGCAAGTTATACAACACATTAAGGGGGAAAGAAAGCTCATGGTAAATTAATCTCCAAAATGCATTTAGCGGGTGGGAGAGGAAAAAATAAATCAGGTGACTCAGCAAACATTAAATCTTCAGTCAGCATACAACTGCTGCTGCATTTGATTTGGATGCAGCAAAGGTGGAGCTTGGTGGAAACCAAGGATGGAAAGGAACAGCCACAGTTAAGAGCTGAATAACTGAACTACTTAATTTTTTTTCTCTTCACTGCAAATCAAAATGTTAAGCATAATCTGTTCCTGGAAGTGGAGGAGCAAGGTTAGCAGGGAACAATACCACACTTAATTATGAAGTTATCTCACTGTACACACAGGAAAGGGGAGATTACTGTTTCTAAGGGAATATTAATTCTCACATTTTTTGAACTTCCAAGTGCCTGCATTCACATCCACCTCTGTGTGCACATCAGGACTCTGTCATGGCACCAACACTCCTAGATATTTTATTTAGGCATGATTTTAGGTAGTTGTTACTATTTGCTCTAGCAATAGCTATTGCTTATAGACATGACCTACTATTCAGACAACATTTATGGACAGTATCACTCCTGCAGTTCAATTGACTCAGTTGCTGTAATGATTGCCAGGGTGGTGAAACACCAAAGTTATTGACAAACCCTTCAATACAACAGCTAAAATAGGTCACCAGAAATAAATCAGTTGTGAAATCATTGCTAGAGAACACAGCTATCCGTGTTAATTTAAAATAAAGACCAGCACAGACTGAGATGAACCTGTTCAAGGAGCTTTGCAGAAGTTGTCAAGCAAAAGAGAAAACAACCAAATGCCATGAGGGAAGCGAATAATACTGTAAATATTGACTGAGCAATTCATATTCTCTTGCATCTCACTGTGAAAGGGAGAAAAACTTTTGTGATCTTTAAAAAAATTTCAGCATTAAGAAAAGCCATTAACTCTTACACAGTATTTTAGTTTTTGAAAGCTGCTGTCTCCTCAGTGTCCAGTATCTGTCCACCTGGGATGCTGGACACAGGTCAGAAACCTGACAAGGCTTCTGAGTAAAGAACAGAGTAAACAGTCATGGCTATTACCTCTTTCTCTCAGTTACAAGGAGATGAAGGATCTCAAAGATCATGATCAGTCACAGGATCAGCAGAGTAGCCTCTCCTGCTATAGCCAGGTATGACAAACACTCCTGCTTCTTCTTCTCCTCCCATCCCCATTAAAACTGACAACACAACAAATCCTTCCCCAATACACACAGCTGGATTCTTTTAACTGACTGCTTTGACAGGGAAAGGTTTCAGCACTCCTAAACAAATTCCCTGCACAAAGCACCACAATTAGTATGAGGGGGCTACAAACAGGAGCCAGATCTGCACCAGCATCTGCACCAGCACATCTGATGTCATAAAATCCCACAGCACCTCTGGCATCAGCTCTGTCAGCACCTCCTGCCAGGCATTCTCGTTAAAGGCAAACATAACAAGTTTCATACAAAATCAAGTGCTAGCAGCCCAATATTTCTGGTTTCCTGTTTAATTAAAAGGCCTTTAAAACCCACACTGTGACTAAAACGTCTCTCACGATCTCTGATCTGACAAAGCAATTTTTAAGGCAGAAGAATCCAAGGGTGGGTGAGGCTGCTGCACGCATGCTGGGGAATCTGCGGCAGGAACCGACTGCATTGGATGTGCTGCTGCTCTCACAGCAACCAGCAGAGCACACTCCACTGTAAGAGCTGATAAATCAATAGTTTAAATCCGTATCGTATCAAAATTGTATCTGGAAAAGGTGGAAGACTCACACAAAGCCAGTCAAGCTGTCAGGGACGGCTCCGATTCCAGCCCTGCCCAGCATCCCTGCAGAAGCATCCCTGTACGCACGGCACAGCGCCTGGAGATGCGGCTCCCAGCTGCCATTGTGCTCCCAAAACAAAGACACGGGGGGAAAAAAACCCTGAAATAAATAAATCAGACAGCTCCAGGGGCTAGAGCCCAGCGGGAGGATCCTGGAGCTGCCGGCACTGCTGCTGCAGGAGCCAGCGCCGAGTCCGACCCTGGAGCCCGCCGCAGCGATGCCGGCGTAGGGAGGGAGCTGCAAATCTTCCTCTCAGCATTCCCGATGGATTCCAGCCTGGGAAGAAACGACACGTGCCACATGATCTGCCTGCTGCTCTCCCAGGGTGAGATGTGCCTGGAAAGGGGCAAAGTGTTTCCCAGCCGGAGCAGGAGAGAAGAGAGGGAGCCCAGTCTGGTAGTGCAAACTATTATTTTAATCAAAAGTCCTTCCTGATCACTTAGCCTATGAGTATTTTTCAGCCTCAGAAAACAATATGCACCACAAGAATTACTAATTCTTATTATGCTATGATTAATTATATTATAAATTCAATAAATTCTATTATTATTATTGTTGTTGTTGTTGCTATAAAATAGCAACTTGGCTTAAGAGGCTTTGGCAATTCATAACCATGCTTAAGTCCATCTATTTATCGTCCAAGGTCCTCTGTTTTTGAGGAAAGTCATTTGGGCAGAGCAGGAATTATGGATTTGTTTGGTTTTTCGAGGGAGCCCTAACACAGATCCAGGGAAACATCACCCAGGGAATGTGATGCTAAAACGCCTCGGCACCTTCCAAAAGTTAGCACTTTTTTTCTCCACCTGCTCCTGCTACATTTTTATGGCAAAAACTTCCCCTTTTTAGGAGCAGAGCACAGACACTTGCTGGGACAGGGCATGACAACACAGGACTTGCTAACAGGTGCCCAGAGCAGCTGGGGCTGCCCCTGGATCCCTGGCAGTGCCCAAGGCCAGGCTGGGAACACTTGGGACAGTGGGAGGTGTCCCCACCCAGGGCAGGGGGTGGCACTTTTAAGGTCCCTTCCCACCCAAACCACTCTGCAATCCAATGATAAATGGACTTCAAACTGTAAAGGTCCATTGTCTTCTTGTGGGATATCCTGCATCAACTCTCCATGTTGTTTATTAGTCATGAAAATCCACAGGAAAAAAAAA